GTGAAATTGTTTGAGTTCCTCATATATTCTGGATATTAATCCCATTTCAGATGTGTAGTTTGCAAATATTTTCTCTCATTCTGTTGATTGTCTTTTCACTCTGTTGATTATTTTCTTTGCTATACAGAAGCTTTTTAGTTGGATACAATCCCACTTATTTATTTTTTCTTTTGTTACTTGTTCTTTTGGGGTTTTATTCATAGGGTCATTGCCCAGTCCTATTTCCCAAAATGATTTCCCTGTTTGCTTTGGTAGTTTTGTACTTTTAGATATTATGCTTAAGTCTTTAATCCATTTTGAGTCAATTTTGGTATATGGCAAGAGATACAAGTCTAGTTTCATTCTTCTGCATATAGGTGTTGAACTTTCCCAGCACCATTTATTGAAAAGGCAGTCTTTTCCCCAATGTATATTCTTGCCTTTGCCAAAGATCAGTTCGCTGTAAGTATGTGGGTTGATTTCTGGGTTGTCTATTCTGCTCCATCAGTCCAAATGTCTGTCTTTATGCCAGTATCATGCTGTTTGCATTACTATAGTTTTGTAGTATAATTTGAAGTCAGTTAGTGTTTTGCCTCTGGCTTTATTTGTTTATTTTTTGCTAAGGATTGCTTTGGCTATTCAGGGTCTTGTTCCATATGAATGTTAGGATTTTATTTTTCCTATGTCTGTAAAGTATTTAATTGGTTTTTTGATAGGGATTGCATTGAATCTGTAGATTGCTTTGGGTAGCATGGATATTTTCACATTGTTAATTCTTCTAATTGAAGAGCATGGAATGTCTTTGCACCTTTTGTGCCCTCTTTAATTTCTTCCAGCAGTGATTTGTCGTTCTTATTGTAGAGATCATTCACGTCCTTAGTTAAATTGATACCAGGGTATTTTATTTTTTTGATCACTATTGTAAATGGGCTTGCTTTCTTTATTTCTTCTTTTGCTAGTTCATTATTTTAGAATAAAAATGTTGCTGATTATTGGGTGTAGACTTTGTATTCTGCAACGTTACTGAAATTGTTTATCAGTTCTAAGAGTCTTTTGATAGAGTCTTAATGTTTCCCCCTATATAGGATCATATCATCCTCAAATGAAGACAGTTTGACTTCATCTTTTCCAGTCTGGATGCCCTTTATTTCTTTCTCTTGCCTGATGTCTGTGGATGTTACTTCTAATACTGTTAAAAAGGAGTAGTGACAGTGGACATCCTTCTCTTGTTCCTGTTCTTTAAGGAAAAGCTTTCAGCTTTTCCCACTTCAGGATGATATTGGAGGTGGGTTTGTGAAATATGGGTTTTATTGAGTTGAGATACTTTCCTTCTATACTTAATTTGCTGAGAGCCTTTATCATGAAGGCATATTGAATTTTGTCAAATGCTTTTACTGTCTATTGACAAAATCATATAGTTTTTGTTCTTGATTTTGATGTATCTCATTTACTCACTTGCATATGTTGAACCATCCTTGCCTCCCTGGGATGAATCCCACTTGGTCATGGAGTATAATTTTTCTGATGCATTTCTGTATTCTGATTGCTATTGTTTTGTTGAGGATTTTTGTGTCTATGTTCCTCAGAGATATTGGCCTGTAGTTTTCTTTCTTTATTGTATCTTTGTCTGGTTTTGGTACCAGGGTGATGCTAGTCTCATAGAATGAGTTTGGGAGAGTGGTCTCTATTTTGATCTTTGGAATGGTTTGAAGAGAATTGGTATTCATTCCTCATTAAAGGTTTGTTAGAAATCAACAGTGAAGCCATCTGGTCCTGGGCTTTTCTTTGTTGGGAGACTGCTGATTATAGCTTCAATCTCATTGCTCATTACTGGTCTGTTCAGGTTTTCTATTTATTCTTGCTTCAGTTTTGGTAGTTTGTGTGTTTCCAGAAATTTATACATTTCCTCCTGGTTTTCAAATTTGTTGACATGTATTTGTTTATAATAGTCTCTAATGATTCTTTGTATTTGTATGGTATCAGTTATAATGTCTCCTTTTTCATTTCTGATTTTGTTATTTGTTATTCCTCTCTCCCCTCCCCTCCCCTCTTCTCCTCTCCTCTTCTCTCTTTTGTTCACCTAGCTAATGGTTTGTCAATTTTGGGATCTTCTCAAAAAAACCAACTTTCTGTTTTGTTGATCTTTTGTATCTTTTTGGGAGGGTGTCTCTATGTCATTTAATTCTGCTCTGATCTTGATAATTTCTTTCCTTCTGCTAATTTGGAATTGGATTGTTCTTGTTTTTTTAGTTCTTTGAGGTGTAGCACTAGGTCGTTTATATGAAATCTTTCTTTTCTTTTTATGTAAGCATTTATTGTAATAAACTTGCCTCTTACTACTGCTTTTGCAGTATCCCACAAGTTTTTGTGTGATGTGTCCTTATTTTCATTAATTTCAAGAAATTTTCTGATTTCTTGTTTAATTCTTCTTGGACCCATGGTTCATTCAGGAGCCTGTTTAATTTCCATGTATGTATAGTTTCCTGTGTTTCACTTGTTATTGATTTCTAGAATTAATCTGTTGTGGTCTGAAAACATACTTGAAGTAATTTTTATGTTTTTTACATTTGCTGAGACTTGATTTGTGACCTAATGTGTGGTCTGTCATGAAGAATGTTCCATGTGCTGATGAGAAGAATGTATATTCTGTAGTTGTTTGATAAAATGTTATGTAAATATCTGCCAGATTCAGTTAGTCTAAGGTATGCTTTAAATCTTCTCAACATTGACAGATTGTCTATGATCTGAGAGAGGGGTGTTCAGGTTCCCAACTATTATCGTATTGGGGTCTGTCTCTTTCTTTAGGTCTAATAGTATTTGCTTTATATATCTGGGTCTCCAGTGTTGGGTGCATATATATTTATGATTATTATTTTGTCTTACTGGATGGATCCCTTTATCATTATATAGTGGCCTTAGTCTCTTTTTATGGTTTTTGGTTTAAAGTCTATTTTATCTGCTATAGGAATAGCTATTCCTGCTCATTTTTGGTTTGCATTTGTAAAGTATAACTTTTTCTATCTCTTCACTATAATCTGTATGTGTCTTGACAGATGAGGTGAATCTCTTGAAGACAGCATATAGTTGGGTCTAGCTTTTTAATCCACTCAATCAGTCTGTGACTTTTTAGTGGAGAGTTAAATTTATTTACATTTAGTGTTGTTATTGTAAGGTATTATCTCACTCCTGGCATTTTATCATGGTTTGCTTAGATGTTTTAAATATTTTTTTCTTTCTTCCCCTTTTGTTATTCATCTTCAATGTTTGTTGGTTTTTGAGGTGTTAAGATATGGTTTCTTTTTCTCTCTCATTTACATTTTTGTTTTACCAGTAGGTTTTGTTCTTTCTTGTATATGTGTGATAGTGATTATTGTTTTTTGGATTCCAAATCCAGGAACCCCTTGAAAATTTCTTGTAGGGCTGGTCGTATGGTGGTAAACTCTTGCAGTTTTTGTTTGCCTGGTAAATGCACTATTTTCCCCTCACTTCTAAAGGATAGCCTTACTGGGGGTAGTATTCTTGGCTGGCAGTTTTTTTCTTTTACTATTTTGAATATATCATCCTATTCTCTTCTGGCCCATACAATTTCTATTGAGAAGTGTGCTGTTAGTCTGATGGGTGCTCCCTTATAGGTGATTTGATGCTTTTCTCTTGCTGTTTTTAGGATTCTCTCTTTGTCTTTGAGCTTTGCCAGTTTGACTATAATGTGTTTCGGAAAGGATCTTTTTGTGTTGAATCTGTTTGGGGATCTTTGAGCTTCTTGGATCTGAGGTCTGTGTCTCTCCCTATACCTGTGAAGTTTTCTTTTATTATGTCATTTAATGTGTTTTCAGGGTCTTTACCTTTCTCATCCCCTTCTAGAACACCCATGATTCAAATGTTTGTGTGCTTAAGGTTGTCTGCTAGTTTTCTTAGATTTTCTTCATTTAAAAAAAATTTTTTTTACTTTTTTTTGTCTACCTGGGTTATTTTGATAAGACCATGTTTGAGATCAGAAATTTTTTCTTCTGCTTGCTCTAATCAGCTGCTTAAGCTCTAACCTGCTGCTTAAACTCTTGATTGTATTTTTTTATTTCATTGAATGAATCCTTCATTTCCAGGAGTTTTGCTACATTCTTTTTAAGGTATTAATCTCTGTAAATTTCCTCCTTCATACCTGAATATTTTTTCTCTTTTCATTGTGTTGTCTAACTCAGTCTTCTCTTATCTCATTGTGTTTCCTTAAGATTATTGCTCAGAATTCCTTTTCAGTCATTTCAAGAGTTTCCTGCTCAATGGGGTCAGGTACTTGAGAATTACTATATTCTTTTGGTGATGCCTTATTTTCTTTTTCTTTTTTGTGTGTGTATCTATTATGTCTACCATGATGTCTGGTCATCTGGTAGAGCAGTTGCTTCTATTACTCTGGAGTGGGCTTTGAGGAGAAAGACTTCCTCCTCTCTTTCCATGCTTCTCTAGTGATTCTCCTCATGTCAATGAAGTTACTTGTGGGTGGTCTGCCTCCGCAGTGGTCATGGCTGCTAATGTGTGGTGAGCCATCTTTGCCACAGCAGAAGCTATAGCAGTGGTCATGGTGTACCACCTGTGCTAAGGCAGTGTGGGGCCTCCAGTTGTGATGGTGTTCCTGTCTTCTGTTCTAGTTGGGGTCAGACTGCCCATGGCTTTTCCACTTGAGCCTCTGGTCCTGATGATACTCATGTATTCTGTTCCAGTGGGGGAGGGCTGCTTGTGGCTGTTCCTCCTGGGACCCTATTGTGGTTAGTGCTCCTGCCTTCTTTTGGGTGGGGGAGGGCTTCCCAGGGCTTAAATGTAATCAGCATTACTTGAGAGAACATATTTTGAAGATAAGTGATATTCTTTTGTCATGTCATGTATTTTTTAGCTCTGAAAAGAACAAATTGTGTTTTAAAAACAATTTAGTAAACTTACTATGTTTTGTAGATGTCCGCTAGTCTTAGTTATCAATAATACGTCAAAAAAGTCTTCTGTAATAAAATATATACCTGATCCTGTCTTGTCAGGGGCCCTTCCGAGATATCACTGAAGTATTAGAACAACGCTACAAGCCTTTGGAGCCAACACTGTGGGTGGCAGAACCAATCACCGAGTTAAAGTTGGCCAGAGAGGAGCTCAGAAGAAAGGAATGGGTGCAAAATGTAAATGACAATATGTGAGTTCTCAGCTTAAAATAATCACTGTACTGTGTTTGTTGCCCCTAGTTGATAGTCGCTGTACTGTGTTTGTTGCCCCTAGTTTTCTATTTTCTTTTTGCTAATGTGGTACAGAATCTTTTGTTTTTTCGAAAAGCTAAAGATACCCTTGGCCTTTTCAAAAGCAATCATTTTTGTCATGCAGATATTTTAAATAAGGTCAATACTGATGGAAAAAATATATATACAACTGAAAGGGGAAAAAATAAAGATTGAGTGGCATTTTAAGGATGATAAATGACCACTGTCTAGGCATCTGTGAGGATAATTTCCTTAATTATCTAGAGAAAGCTTACGTATTTATGATGCTGCTAAAATACGATCCAATAAAACAAAATGTTTTTCTTAACGTGGACAAAATTACATTTGGATACATTTATATAACATTGTAAATCAGGTGCAATGGAAGTGGTTAATTTCTTTATGACTAAGCAAGATGACTGAAAAGATGAAGGAAAATCTAATAGCATATACAGTTTAATACTATTTTATTAGCATCATTGATTTGGGTCCCAATTCATACATCTTTCTCCAAGGCATCTCCATTCTCTTAAGGCACTTTGTCATCAATAGACTCACATATAATTTATAAATATACCATTTAAAATCTAGAATGGCTTTATTATTGTTATTTTCAATATCCTATAATGAATAATCACTGTACTGTGTTTGTTGCCCCTAGTTTTCTATTTTCTATTTGCTAATGTGGTACAGAATCTTTTATTTTTTCAAAAAGCTAAAGATACCCTTGGCCTTTTCAAAAGCAATAATTTTTGTCATGCAGATATTTTAAATAAGGTGAATACTGATGGAAAAAATATATATACAACTGAAAGGGGAAAAAATAAAGATTGAGTGGCATNAATACTGATGGAAAAAATATATATACAACTGAAAGGGGAAAAAATAAAGATTGAGTGGCATTTTAAGGATGATAAATGACCACTGTCTAGGCATCTGTGAGGATAATTTCCTTAATTATCTAGAGAAAGCTTACGTATTTATGATGCTGCTAAAATACGATCCAATAAAACAAAATGTTTTTCTTAACGTGGACAAAATTTCATTTGGATACATTTATATAACATTGTAAATCAGGTGCAATGGAAGTGGTTAATTTCTTTATGACTAAGCAAGATGACTGAAAAGATGAAGGAAAATCTAATAGCATATACAGTTTAATACTATTTTATTAGCATCATTGATTTGGGTCCCAATTCATACATCTTTCTCCAAGGCATCTCCATTCTCTTAAGGCCCTTTGTCATCAATAGAATCACATATAATTTATAAATATACCATTTAAAATCTAGAATGGCTTTATTATTGTTATTTTCAATATCCTATAATGTCTCTTATCATTATCTTTGCAATGAATCTTATAAGAATTCTTTAGTATTACTTATATACTAAGTGATAATGACATTATTATATTATTGTAATAGAAATTACTATAATTATAATATAATAATTTTATTATATAAAATATTACTATAAATTATTATATACTAGTACGCTACAAGTTATAATATTGCAATTATTTATTTTTATTTACACACCATGTAATACAAACTAATTACATCTAATATATGTTATATAGTAATAATTAATAATATTACAAAAGACAATAAAAATGTGTTTTGTGATACAAAGAAACTAGAATTATCTCCTATCCATCAGAGTGTATTTTGGATCACTTTATTAGTCAGAAAAGATATATATATTATATACATATAATATATATATAATATACTTTTTTTTTGTTTTTTGACCGGTAAGGGGATCGCAACCCTCAGCACAGTGTGGTCTGTACAACGCTCACCCAGTGAGTGCACCTGCCCTCCCTATATAGGATCCGAACCCGCGGCCCTGGCGCTAACAGCACCGCACTCTCCCGAGTGAGCCACGGGGCCGGCCCCATAATATCCTTTATTTTAATGATGCATTTCTTTTTTTTTTTTTTTTTTTCTTTTTTTTTTTTTTTTTTTCTTTTTTTTTTTTTTTTTTTCTTTTTTTTTTTTTTTTTTTCTTTTTTTTTTTTTTTTTTTCTTTTTTTTTTTTTTTTTTTCTTTTTTTTTTTTTTTTTTTCTTTTTTTTTTTTTTTTTTTCTTTTTTTTTTTTTTTTTTTCTTTTTTTTTTTTTTTTTCCTTTTTTGTCTTTTTTCGTGACCGGTAACGGGATCGCAACCCTCGGTGTGTCACGCCCGTACCGCGATTGGCAACGGGATCGCAACCCTCGGTGTCACGCCCGCACCGCGCTCAACCAGTGAGCAGACCGGTCTCTATATGGGATCCGAACCCTCAGCAGGAGCGCCACCGCGCTCCCAAGAGCCGCACTCTACTGAGTGCACCACCGGGCCGGCCCCTTAATGATGCATTTCTGAAGAGACTCTTGAAAAATAAAAATTTTCACACAAACTCATATCAAAGATAAAATTGGCAAGCATCTTGAGCAATTTCTGTAATGTTTTTTATTTATAGCAGTTACTTGAAGTGAAATAATGAGCTACGGAGTGTTTAGCAGATTCTTAATTAATTGATTGAGTTAACCCATAATATGATGAATAAGAAAATAAAGAACTTTTTTTTTTTCAAATAGTTTTGGGTAGGTAGATTTATTTTACCACAGAGTTTATTAAAGATTAATGCTACTCAGACTTAGTCAAGCAAAATATACAATTTAGTGATGAATATGTAAAGTTTTATCACTCAGAATTATTTTTCTATTTTCAACTGTGCAAAGGTTTATAGAATAACAGGATAAATTGCCCGCAAAATGCAATGATTATTAATCATCTCACTGATATTTCTACAGAAATTATCATATATCAAAAATATTGAGATATCCTTTCTTTGTATTTTCCTTGGTAAGCTTAGAAAAATCAGATATAAGTGTTATCCCCAAAGAAAAGTACTTTCCATAGAATACTTGCGAATATCTTCAGTGTCAAAGATGTTGCTGGTTACCCTTCAACCTGCAACTTTCAGAGATTGATAAATGCTTCTAGGATTATCAACCAATGAGAAACAAACCAAATTGAGAATGCTAAAGAAATTACTATAGATTCAAAGCTATCATATTTTTAGCAAACTAGGCTAAGTAGTAACTAGCCTAAGGATCATTGCACTATTAGAATTTGAACACTGATATTTATTTATTTATTTATTTTATTTTATTTTATTTTATTTTATTTTTATTTTTATTTTATTGTCCTTTTTGAGACCGGCCACAC